TTGAATATAAGGCAGCAGGACACTCTGCTCAAGCTGGCATCAAGAAAAGGCCATTGTTATTTATTGAGGATTGAACTTTTTGCTATGGGATACCACTGTTCTTTGAATAAATTTCATTCGCATATAATACTTGCAAACAGTCTGCCCAGAGAAACTATTTTCTTTTTATTTCTCTAGAAAATGCCTCCAGTTGCTCCTCTTCAAAGCTGAAAAAATAGGCCAAGCCATGACTGGTTTCAGTTCCTCAGATCACATGTGTACATTTATTCTTCCATGGGGCAAAATTCATAACACGTCACCATTAATTTAGTGCCAGATATTACTAAGAGTCTTCTGTCTTCCTAGACAGTGGTCTGTTGAAGATTATGTAATTATTATAAAAAAATATACACTCTTAAATTTAAAGTAAGATAATAGAAAAAATTAGTTTAAACGCAGCAGCACAATTTGTCCTACTTGCACTGAAAGAAGTGAAATGTCCATTTAATTCGGTCAACTTAAAAGTTGATGTTGTTTCAACTTAAAAAATGCATGTGTGGTTTGAAACCAATAATTTCACTTTACCTGGAATTAAAAATCACTTATCACAGAAACAATCAACTAAAACAATTATTTTCCAAGTAAATATCTACTTCAAGTCAAAGGTCATAGTGTCACTAGGCATTTATCCTTCCACATGCTGTAACTCACGTGAATGTGACCTCATTACCTGACTAATTGAAAACAGGTGTGAGCAGCACAGCACCACCATGAGCAAGGCAGCTGTTCCAACTAATGCAGTCTGCTCAGTTTCAGTATAGCAATGATTATGATGGGCAGGCATTGTAGTCATCAAGAGAAATTGCTCCGTGAAACGGAGACGATTGTACGAACTCAGAGGAACTGCAGTTCAGCTTTAAAAAAAATAAATAATAGGATCAAACTAATGATCTTTTAACAACTAAAGGTCAAGCTCTAAGTTATCATGACTTATAAATCCTGTCTGTGGTCAATATAGTTGGATCAAAATTATGTTTTTATTCTTTGAAATAAATACAGTTTTACATTTTTGTCACTACTTTATTCCAAATTACATTTATACTTGTATGTAATTGTACAGATTTCATTTTTCCAAATAGAAAAAATAGATTATAAAAAAAGCATAAAACTTGTTTATGATCTGTTATAAGTTATAGTTTTACTTTGTATGAATGTAGTTTCTTTCTTTGGCTTAAGGTAAAAAATATATTTCTAGTAAATCAAAATGTATAGCTTCAACCACATCAGAAACTTAATTTGAGACAACGTAATAAATTTAGGTGTAACAAATTACAGTAATTTTTTCAAGTTGATACAAAGTATCTTTTTTTTCAGTGTGGCCATGTGACAGAGAGTACAGCATAATACATACATATACAAAGTGCTTTTTAATCATGCATTGTAAACCATCGCTGTGGAGCAACGTAGGGGGCATGATTTAGGCCGTTCAAGCTGTTCAAAAACAATATCCTTGGAAAAAGCTTAACCAGATGTTTAGTTCCATTTAACGTTTTAGTTTTAGCACACATTTGATTTTCAAACTCGTTTTTGACTGTTTTTCTTTCACTTTGATGGAGCTCAAATTTGGTTTGCACCTGTGTATATCCATAGTACTGAAACTGGTTAAAAATTAACTGGATTATCCTACACAACACAGAGTTTCCTTGAAGACATTTTGGAATGCTAATATACCATTGTTCAAGTTGTCCATCCATTTTCCGTCACGTTTTTCCCCAGCCGGGTCGTGAGGGGTGCTGGTGCCTATCTCCAGCTGTCTACAGGCAAGACAGGGTACACCCTGGACAGGTCGCCTGTCAATCACACGGCAACACAGAGACAAACAACCATGCACACACTCACACCAATTAACCTAACGGAAGCCAATTAACCTAACAGTCTTTTTTGGACTGTGTGTGGAAGTTGGAGTACCGAGAGGGAACCCACCCATGCTCAGAGAGAACATGCAAATTCCATGCAAAAAGACCACGGGCTGAGAATCGAAACTCGGAACCTTGTTGCTCCAAGGCAGCAGTGCTACCCACTGTGCCACTGAGCAGCTCATTCAATTTGTTAAAAAAACAAAACAAACAAACATGAAAATTGCATCTAAATAAATTTTCCCATTCCATTGAAATTAATATCACACGAGAACTGCAATTTAAAAATCTATCACAGAGCTGGATGATATGGCCAAAACTGTATTTTTCTTAATTTCGGTTGTTAGGATATAATTTTAATGTAAACATAAACAAAATAAAATTTCAGAAAGACTGCCAAAAATGGTGACAACATAATCCTGCTTTAACTTGCAACAACTATTGGATCAAGTTTTTAAAACTGCAGTAATATAACATTAATCAAAACATAAAAAAAATAAAACCCAGAACGTTATTGACAAAAATTTGTATTCATACTCTGATATATACGGTCATTATCAGAAAGGTGTTTTAAAGTCATATATATATTTTATCATAGAAATATATGCTGGTACTTGTCGTTGTCCTCTTATCTTGTACGAGGTCCTCGGGCTATCGGTCTCAGCAGAAACTCCCAGACTCCTCTTTTCCCAGCCTTTCTCCAGCTCCTCTGAAGAAAGCCTTTTATGGTCAAACTCTCTATCCTATTTCTAAGGTTTTGTCAGGCTACTCTGCAGAGATGCCCATTGCAGGCACTTGTATGTGGGATCTCGTTCTTTCAGTCATCATATAGATTTTATGACCATAGGTAATGATAGGAACAAACACCAATTGGTAAAATAAAAGATGCGTTTGTTGGTTGGTCAGTAAATCCGTCACTCTACTGGGCAAGAGATGCCGTCTTTGAAGAACAGAAGTGGGAGATGTGGAGCCATCAAGTGATTTCTGTGTTTTGTATTTGTTCAACCTAGCCACTGAACCAGATGAGTCCAATCTGCACAAGGAATTTAATTGTCCAGATTGGACTCACCTGGTTCAGTGGCTGGGCAGAACAAATACAAAACATAGAGATGACTTGATTTGCCACAACTCCCACCTCTGTTGAGGAAGCCTATCACACTATTAATAAAGGGTTGTTTTGATCTGTAAAATCTATAAACATATTTTACCTATTGAAGTCAGTAATTGTTTCTAATGAGAGATCTACAGTATATTCCCCTTGCTCTGGTCTTTTCTTTAGTTGAAAGATCACTGGTAGTTTTAAAAGCTCACTGTCTTCCAGGTGGGTGGGATATATGACAGTCATGCGACCTGTTTTTCCATCAGTTGAAAGATCTATGACATGGTCTGAGATCTGTCAAATCCACAAAGAGATCTGTAGATCCTCCTGCCAAAGGATCTGCTTCTTTCTGTCAAAAGGTTTTTTTCGCTATATGGGGTGAACATTCTATCTTTATGTCCCTTGATTGATCTATAATCTAGAAATCCAACTTTTCGTCAGTTGAGAGATCTGTTTTATGTTGGTAGAGGATCTCTCTATCCCTTGCTCTGTCAGGAAAAGTAAACTGTTGGTCAAGAGATTCACAGCTCTATCAAGAGCTATCACTCTGCCACTTTGAATATCTGTTGGTCCAAAGATCTATTGCTCTGTCAGTTGACAGAAATGCTATGTTGCTTGAGAGATCTATCATTCTCTCTGTCAGAAAATCTTGTCACTCTGTTGGTCGAGAGATCTATTAGCTGTCTTGTGGTGACCCATTGCTTGGTCAGTCAAGAGATTCATATACGGTATTTGTCAAAACATCTGATGCTCTGAGTCAAGATCAATCTCTGTGTTTCAAGATCTAAAACTCTGTCAGTGAAACTGTCTGTCAAAAGAACTGAGAGACATGTGATTCCTTGCCTGTCAAAATATATCTCATTGTTAAAAGATTTATCTCTCTTTCAAGACATTTTTGACTATCTCTACAGTAAAGTCAGTTGTCAGAGGAGAGATTACTTTGGTTTAAAAGCTCTTGCTCGCTGTAAAAAGATCTGTAACTCAACTGCACTGTTGGTTAAAAGATCTAACACTCTCCCTGATGAATGGTGTGTTGTACGTTCGATTTAAATTTTTTTAGGTTTATTCAATACATTTGAATATTAGTGAAAAATGTTTTACTTCAGTAACTGAATTACCCAAGTTAAACATTGTAAAGATTAATTACAGAGACTGATTTTTTTTAAAGCCTTTATTTCTGTTAATTAAAATCATTATTTTTTAACGGACACCCAATGAAAACATAATATCTAATTCCTTTTATTTATTACACATTACACCAATAAAGACATTGTTAATACAGAAATGTAACCCTAATTCAATTCAATTCAGTTTATTTACAGTATATAGCGCCAATTCACAACGCATGTCATCTCAAGGCACTTTACAGAGACACTTCAACCAGATCTTACGGACAGATCGGTTCAAAGTTTTCTATCAAAGGAAAGCCAGCTGATTGCATCGACTCATTGACCCTCACATCAAGCATGCTGGTAGCTACAGTGGAGAGGAAAAACTCAGGATAACCTGAGCCACTCTAACCATAAAATTTATCAAAAAGGAAAGTTTTAAGCCTACCTTAAAAAAGTAGACAGGGTGTCTTCCTCAATATAAGTATGTTTAATACCTTAGAAATCCTAAAGAAGTGAGGCATTGCTGCAAGAACTAGGGATTCATCCTGTGACTGGTGAGTTGCTGGTTTGAACCCCTGCTCCATTGATCTCCATAATTGTGTCCTTTTCAGGACACTTCACCTATCACTCCTGCTGGTAGTCCGGTGGTGCTGATGTATTACAGCTTTATTTTTGTCAAAGCAGTGTGAATTGTGTTGGAAGTCCTTGGACTTGATAACATGCTATATATACTAGCAATTTAGTCTTTTTATTATCTAAAAGCAGAGCAAGAGTGTTTAGATTTTGAAAGTATGTCATATTATATTTAGTAGTAAAAGAAGGTTTTCTTTAATTTGTAAAAATTTGTTTCCGACATTATATCTTTATGCTCATCACAGCTCCATTTATTTCCAGGGTTGAAAGCAGTCTTCTAGAGGTACTTCAGATGGACTTTGAGGTTGAAGAACTGAGCAGTCCTGTTGACAGCCAGGTGATCATATGGAAGCTGGAGCTACCATCTGTGCCCAAAACTCTCGCCAAGACTGAAGGAGCCATGAGAATTTATACAACTCAAAGAGACTTTGTTGGCCTGGCTCCTCTTGTGATGGTGAGTGAGATGACAGCTTTCATGTCACCCATGATCATTATAAAAACCGGCATCGACATTACAGACAGCAGACTCTCCACTAACTGCCAACGCTTCGGCTGCATTTGAGCATTGACGCATAAAAATATCATAAAATGCACTTTGCGTGATCCATTCTTGTCTGGTGTGCATACGCAGAGGATGGAATATGCTTGGGGTTTGTTGAGGAAAAGCCTTCTATCTTCAGCAGACTGTGACCTTGTGTTGTTTTCTGTCAGCTAGCTGATGCCTCTCTTCTGTGTTGTTCTGCTCTATTCTGGCGTGCAATTTTTGGCCATTCTCTGATCCTAACAGCTGCTTCACATGCTGCTATTTCAGTGCCTCAGGCCTCTTTAGCATGCTACACTACCTCCATAATTAATCCATGATATAATCCCCTGTCACCAAACATTACAGCTGTTTGGATAAAAATATTGAATCTTGGTTACTGTATTTTGTCACCTGGGCCACAGATATTGTAATAAACAAACTGCCTGAGGTGGGAGCACCAGATTTGTAGTTATCAAGAAAAATACAGTAAGAAGCACTCCATATCTCTCTCTAAATATGTTTTAGCTCTTTTTTCACTACAATGTCTACCATTTCCACCACATTGGTGCTGTGTTGTTTGTAATATGAAACAATATCCTGATTTCCAAACAACATGGTTCATCTCACTTGATGAGTAGTAGAATCTAACCTTAGGCTGAGAGCCAAACATAAGATTTTCTAGTCGGCTTGAAAATACATCAGTTTCAGATCCAGTCTTAACCTTTAAAGCTCACATTGCCTGTTTTAGCTCCTGTTATACAAGTAATAGAGTCAAGGGACTAATATCGGCCTGCCTCGTTTTCATTCTCAAAATGGCTAACTGTCACTGTTATTTTGGTTTAACAGACAGTTTTAAAAGAAGTAAGCCATGCTGCACCATACGGGTCTTGGACTCTTTTCATCATGTTTTATTCTATTATTTAAATTCTATTCAAGGCACGTATGAGATTTTTTTTTTTTTGAGAGTTTCCTGAACACCGCTTAAAAAAAAATCAGCATTATGGGTGTATAAAATCCCAGGGTTGGGCTACAAAAATATATCACTAAAGGTTGGTTAAGGGCTTGATTTCAAATCATTTTTAAAATATTACTTCAAGGAGAAAAGTATTTTCAATTTCAGTTTAAATAAGTTGATGAAATCCACTTCTTTCATGCGGTTTGGTTAATTCATTCTCAAATTTTTAAAATGTTCATATTTCACATTTGTATAGTTGAGTTATGGATAGTAATAATCCAGTTTTAAGGGATAAAAACAAGACAAATCATGTGCAGGAATGATGCAGTAAATGTAATTTTCTTTTTATGAATAAAAAAAACAAACTGTTCTTGATTGAGTATTTCTTATTAAAGGAAACGGCATGAGCTAACGTTTGCTTGTTTGTCTAGACATTAATAAAATAATTACAGTATTTAGTTTCCTGCTGATTTAATTTAGTTGTTAGTAGTTAATTTTAATATAGATAATCAGATTAAAAAAAAAAAAATAAAACACGCATCATATGAAAGTTTCAAATTTATCAGTATGTCACTGAGAATGAGTAAATATTTAATGTCTGCACACAGATTAAAATCCATCCATACATTCATGCATCCACCCATATTTGTGGTACTTTATGTGCTTTATCAAAAAAAGAAATGGGCAGAAAAGAAAATGGGGTTTCATGCAGAAAAGGTCTCAAAACCGGGAATCGAACCCCAAAAAGCTGCATTTAAGGACTAATAGTCTCCACATATGAGGAATCTGCTCTCATTCTACAGGCACTGCCCAAAAATTATTTCAAAAAGAAAATATGGATGAGAAGATGATGTTCACTATTTTCCTTAAGGCGGTATGTTGAAGGTCAGCACACTTCAGACTAAACAGTACAGACCTTTCTTTTTAGTCCATACTCACTGGTTTGAATCTGCTTAAAATTTTACAGCTTTCCTTAGAAGGATATGCTTGAACAGAGAAGCTGGGCATCAGCTCTCCTCTCCCTATCACCCATGTGACGTTCTGGTGATTAGCTTCCCCCAGCTCTGCCTTAAAGACTCCCCAAAGGGGCAAGAACCACTTTATGACGTTAGAGCTTTAACATCAGTCAGCTATCTGTCTTCAGGTTTCCTTTTAGCCTTTTTATTCTGGTCATTAACTGTAATAATAATAAAAATAATAAAGAAACATTTGGAGTCTGAATCCTACATATTTCTTAACATTAGAATGTTAGATAGGATTTGCTGTTTGGTGTTTTGATGACACTGCTTGATCTTTACATTCCCTGCAGGACACAGAGATCCTGAACACTGCTGTTCTGACTGGAAAGAAAGTGCTGATGCCTGTGAGGACAGTGGCTGTGGAGGAAGATGGAGTGGTCACAGATGTTTCTGACTACACAGACTGTAGTTCTACTGATGAAGATGTCCTCAAGGTATAATCATTTCTTCCTCCTTTAAAGCAGCGCTATGTGAGTTCTGACCACCATATTAGCTTAAATGGAGATAAATTATTTTTCAGGTCAATATACAACCAGCGGCGGATTTAGGAAATTTGGGGCCCTAGGCAAAAACAGGCAGGGGCCCTCTGAACTGAGAAGACAACACATGAAAGAGACCCATTATACAGATAAAGAAATTTTAATAGAATAGACATACATTATTTTATCTAAGTTTTCTCCCTCTCTTCGTGTCCCTTTTCTTGTTGTTTTCCTCTCTATGTTTTGTACTCAGCTGACTTTTCATGCTGTCTCAAAAGAAATGAAAGATTTTTTCCAAGCACTAAGCTCACTTAGCTGATTGCTCCTTTCTCTGTTTCCAAAAAGGCGACGTCAAAAGTAAATAACAGTCCTTTTTTTCACTGTAGACAAGCCATGATCTGCTTATCTGTTTCTCATTTCTCATTTGGATGAAATAATAGCCACATGAAGCAGATAAGATAAAGGAGAGCAGGAGGCAGGGTTACCAATCTACTTGCTCTGGAGAGCAGAGTTCGGTGCTTTTATATGTTCTCGCCAAAGTCTCCAGTAGCTGAAAAAAGTCACTAGATTTGGCCCTAGGTGCTTTTTTGAAATAAAAGTGCTAGGGAGGTCTGAAAAGTCACTAAATATAGCGACAAAAGAGTTAAGTTTGCATCACAGCTCTTCGCATCTTTTTTTTTTCTTCAAATAGTTTGCTTCTGTCTGTTTGGACCTTTCCCTACATGTCTAGAGAATGGACTGATCCAATGTGGTGGACACTGGAATTAAGAAATAGTTGTATTAACCATACATGTAAACAGTTGTATGGGGCCCCCAGGAACATGGGGCTCTAGGCAACTCCCTAGTATTGCCTAATGGTAAATCCGCCCCTGTTTACAACACAGGCTACTATTCTTAAAAACTTGCCTATGTAGATAAACAGGAATGGTTTAGATTTCCCTTTCCAATAAGCTCAGACTAATGACTTGCTCATTAGTCTAAGCTCCCCTTAAAATAAAGAAATGGAAAAATAAACTAAAAGTTGTTATCCAATAGAAACTTACCAGATCATATGTTTGGGTATCTGATGTAGGATTTATTCTAGGGGGATGAATGTGACCTTTTCTTTACCAGTTGCTCCATGATTTAGTCTACTGGTCCAAAGTGGTCTGGTATCAGATTAAAAATATGGAGGGAGGGGTTCATTTTGTGGCAATGCAGTACTGCCAGTTGTTTTTAGGGGCACTATACCTGGAAGCTACAGATCTAGTGCACCTAAGGGCTAAAAGATACACACCATTTTTTTAAATAGACATCATACAAACATATATAATTGCATAACCAAATAAAAATATTAATATAATTTGTGGAGATGTATGTCGGATGGTAAAGTTTGTAATATACAGACAGAGGACATATAGCATCTCACAAAAATGTGTACAAAGACTCCCAAGTGAAAGTTTTGTACACTTATGAAACTGATCAAATTCAGATTTTTGTCAATTAAGTCACTTTTTCTGAGTTCTTCCAAGAATTGATCTTAAGTATTTACAAAAATTTAAGAGGTGTATTTACTTTTGTGGGATTATGTAAAGTCTGACTTATGTTTCCTTTTTAAAGTAAGATACAATTGAATTGTGTTGTTTATCAGAATACTATGGCAGTTAGTTTTTTTAGATTTGTGTTTAATGTTTGCTTCATAGTTGGCAGAATTGCCTTTTAAAGTATGCATCTAGCTTATATGTTTAAGGTATCTTTCCACAAACTTCTTGATAAAGCTTGCTGAAATTCTGACCCATTCCTTTTGACACAAATGGTGGAGCTGATCCAAGTAATGAGATCAGGCCTTAATAGGAAGCACTTCAATGACTTTGTTGTCTTTAAGCCTCTTTGGCAGTATGCTTAAGGTGTGTAAGGCTTTTTCAGGCTTTTGTGATTCTCCCTTTTTTTCATCCAAATATATAACGATAGGTATTATAGCCAAACATTTCAATTTAATTCTCATCAGACCACAGGTTGTTTCTCAAAAAAGAAATAGTTTTTTCTTCCCTGAGTGCATTTGCAAAAATTTAATTTGGCTTTTTATGTTGCTTTTGAAATCACAGCTTCTTTCTTTCTGTTTTCTGGGCTAATATCTCTCTGGATAATGATACTCTTACCAGCTTTAGTCAGCATTGTCTTAAGGTACTTTGCTTTTGCAGATATTTTCCACCGATGGATTAATTTCCCAAGGGAGTAGAACCTGTATTCTTCCTTAATGGTACACAAGGACATATTTCAGTGCTGTTTCTATTACCATTATATTGTGAAGAGATAACTGTTTTACCTTCAAGCATTCGGAAATTGTACCACAGGAACAACCAGACTTATTTTGCTTAACACAGCAGCCTAAAGTGTACCTTACAGAGATATAGTTAGGTTATATACATATACGTAAAAGACCAAAAACCCTTTGATAATAACAAAATAAAGTTAATATACAACTGAGCATCTGTCCTGACAGTTTTTTGATAATCCTTTTTAAGCCGAAATAGAATTCTAGCATCTGGCACAATGAGCAGACATACTGTAACAAAATGTGTGCAAAGTGCTGCAGAACTATCAGAAAGCTACATGGTGACCATTTATGCAGCTACTTAACAGAGCCAGACTGAGTCCAGCTGTCCTGCAATGCCTTGCAGAAAAGTGACAGCTCTGTTCTAGTGAATAATCAAGAACATTAAGAAAAAAATACATTTACAGTTCTTAACAAACATGCAAACAGGGAACAGCATAAAGGTAAGAACTAATTCATTTCAACAAAAAATATAAGAAGTTATAGCTAAATTCTTCTCATTGGAATGAATGCAAATTAAACAAATTGTAATGCACTGCAAAAAATGGCAATCTAAATAAGTCATTTTTTCTAAAACTAAGTACATTTGTTCTTGAATTGAGGAGGTAAGGGAGTCACTTTGCCAATGGAACAAGAAAAAGAAACCGCATTGTCTTATTTCAAGTGCATATTATCTAATAATCTTATTTTAAGAGTAAAAATACTCATTCCGTTGGCAAATCATCCCATATACCTACTAAAATGAAGGGTGGATATGCTTGATTTAAGACATTTTTTCTTATTTCTAGACAATTTTTGCAATGTGGTATTTCTATATTTAATGCATTGCACTGGAAAAAATGGAAATCTAGATAAGTTATTTTTTTCCCCAAAAATCAGTGCATTTGTTCTTGGATTGAGCAGGTAAAAGACACATTTTGCCAATGGAACAAAACAATTTACATTTAAAATAAGAAAATTCAGTTGCATTGTCTTATTTCAGATGCATTTTATCTAAACATCTTCTTTTAAGAGTAAAAATACTCATTCTATTGGCAAAGCATTTAATTTACCCACTCAAATTAAGAGTAAATACACTTAGTTTAAGAATTTTTTACTTATTTCTGGATCGTTTTTACAGTGTGTTGAGCTTAAACTGAAGCAGATCTTGAGTAGTCTTCTAGATTTTAGCAACTGTAAAATTCTATTTCAATCAATCAATTAATAAATCAATCAACTAATATAATTTTTACTTAGACTTAGAAGATCATTGCTATAACTTCTATCAGTATTAATTTGGAGGTTTACTTAAACATCCATCAACTTAGCAGCTCCATCTGTACTCCTCAGCAGCTTTAGCTCCAGTTTCAACAAACAACATTTATTCTCCATTCCAAGAATTGCTCTAGTATTTTCCCTCCGGGAATAAATATTTTTTGGGGTACATTTTTTCAAATTGCGTCTTTAAATTTTCTTTATTAATTTCACAACTTTGCTTGAATGTTGCTAACTGGATTAGCCCCATTTCTAACTTGTTTATCCATTGCATACATGCAAAGTATTGTATCTCCACTAACTCAGTGTTGTTGCTATAAATATACACAAAGGGCTTTATTGAAAATAATAAACATAATAAAAAAATAACAAATCTGCAGAACAAGGTACATTTTCAGAAAAAAAACCTGTATGCAACTGCAGTGAGCTACTGGTGTTTACATTTAAACAAATGTAATATAAAACATGATGATACCCCTTTAAAACATATATCCACTATTTTACTTACAATTTAATTAAATTTAAAAAAGTCACAATATTATCACATGGACTTTTCCAAACAACACATGAATCTTAGCCTCTTACACCCTAAGGGGGTATAAATAAATTTCTGCCTGACAAAAACACACAAAAGTAAATAACATATAGCCTCAAAGCTATTAGATTTAAGAAGAAACTTTTGGTACGTCTGTAAAGGTAAGATGTCATAGAATGGTTTTCTGGTGTCAGCACCGTTGTAGCTTTGACCCTGCCTGAAATATTAGGGACAAAATACAAAATATTTTGCATTTTTTGAACCTCGCCAAAATTTTCTTTGAAATAAACATTGCAAAACACTACCAAAATATTATTTATAGCACAAAAAAGTAGTACAGACTTTTAAATCTAAATGTTGTGTAAAAATATACCAAATTTGGACTCAATCAGATGAATCATATTTATTTTAGAATGGTATTAGTGAGAAATTTCTTAGGCGGAGGGGCCAGTTTGGCACATTTATCCATAAATGTCACCAAACTGTGCCAAATGTGTTTTTTACATCAATACTGGGGGTTTGGTAAAATTACGAGGTCATGTAGCAGCTGGACCCGCCGGTGGGTCCGTAGGGTTCAAGGGGTTAGTGCATCTAATCATCTGAAATTGAGGAAAGTAAAATGTATTTGTTGTCTGAATCAACAAGAAATAAATCCATTATACTTTACATTCGAATGTGAAGTATTACCAATAGTAGCTTTAGGAAGCATAAAATTACCCTGCTTCACAGAAGTGAATTTTGACAGAAAAGGGTAAACATGTATCGAGTGCAGATAAGTGTTAAAGAAAGTGGGATTATAAGTGAGTATGAAGAGTATGACAGTGAAATTGTCCTTTTCAACCTTATGTTTTA